GGCGGTGTCACAGGCGGTGTCACAGGCGGTGTTCTGCGCCTTGCCGCTTTAGCAGTGTACTTGGGGTCTCTCTGTTTCTGTGCGCGGAGCGGCCTTAGCCTGACTGCCTGGAGGGCACTGCATGCGTCGGTTCGCCAGCCAGTCCTGTCCTGGGGACAGGCCGTGCTTAGCCGTTCGCTGTTGGAAGCACTGCCATAGCAGGTTCTGATCTCTACACACCTGGTTTTGCACCTGCGAAATACTTCCTAGAAGTGAGGTCTTTAAGAGAATGGTTTGGACGTTTACAGTGCAGTAGGTAGTTCTTCCCGGCCCCCGCAGAGGTTGTGGGGTTTGCTCCCACCGCCCCAGCAGGGAACACCTGTTCCCCACCCTCCCCCATACTCCCTGACACCTGCCGTCAGACTTCGAGCTCTGCAAGCCCAGTAGAATCTCGGTTTAATTTTGATTTGCATATCTCTCGTTAGGAGTGCAGGGAGCTTCCTTATCTGTGTTTAGACATATTTAGATTTTTGTTTTGTGAACAGCCTGTTCTTTTGCCCATTTTTCTCTCCAGTTCATAATCCTCTTACTGATTTCTGCAATTATCTGTGTTTTAAAGAAATTAGTCTTTGTCTGTGATAGGAGCTATAAATGTTTTTTTTTCTTTTTTTTTTCCTGTCTGTCTTTGAAGAAGTCTTTTGACTTTACAGTGTTTCTTGGCAGACGGTTTCTAATTTTGTGTTTTCAGTCTCTCAGACCTCCTGTTAGGCTTTCGCTTCTGGAGAACACGAAAATGCCGTTTTTCCACCCAGCATAAAACAAAATTATCTCGCTGTGGTGCACTTCGCTGAATAGATGTCTTACTCATCTCGAGATTATTATGTGAGGTAAAGGTACAACCTTATTTTTTCCGGGCAGGTTCCCAATAGTATTTTTTGAGAAATCTGTTTCCCTCCCACTGATTGATTTGAAATATCACTTTTATCAGACACTAATATTTCTTCACCACTCACTCTGTTCCATTGATTTGTGTTTCTAGACACGTACCAGTACCAAACATTTTAATTACTGCGGGTTTTCAACAATTTGAGTGCCCGATAAGGCTAGTCCTCCCCTATTTTTCTTATCCAGAATTTTTTTTTTTGGCCATTTTTGCATTTAAAAAATGTATATCGAGTGTAGAATCAGCCTATCAGGTTCCTCAAAGAACCCTTCTGCTGCTTTTATTAGAACAGGGTGGAATCTTTGGGGGACCCAGGAGCACGGTCGCCTCTGTGGGGTGTTTTATCCAAGAACATGGTATGCCCTGTGCCTCTGCGCGCCTCTTCCCTGTCCCCCCTTTTCTCTCTCATAAGAATGTTTTTAAAATCTTCATACAGCTTTCTTTGTTAACTTCATTCCAGGATACTTCAACTTTTTGGTCACTGTTACAAATGTGGTCGTTTCTTCCTTTCTAACCCCAAAAGAGTGGTTAATTGTGTATGCGGAGGCTGTTGATATCTCTATGATTTTCCCCCCACCGCCTAACTGAATTCCGTCTTTTTCAGAATAGTTTTCTAGTTGATGTTCTTGGATTTTCAAAGGTAATTATTATATCTGCGAACAATGGTAGTTTTGCTCCCTCTAATTTTTTACCTCTTGTTTATTCGCTTTGATGTCAGTGTTGCACAGTAGTGATGGAGTGTACTGTTAGGAGTGGCCTCATCTTGTTTAAAAATCACATATCTCTTTCCTGTTTTATTAAGAATTTATACCAAGAATGAAAATTGAATTTTATGAGATGCTTTCTCAGTGTCTCAGAATCTGGAACTGCTTAGAAGATTGGCTTTTTTTCCTTTAGGTCTATTAATATGATGTAGTAATGAATGTTCTAGTATTATATTGAATCATCCTCTAGTAAATGATTTTACTTGATTATGCCATATTACTCTTTTAACTGTTGCTGGATTATGTTTGCTGATATTTTACTTGGCATATTTTTATTGATATCCATAAATGGACATTTTCCTGTAGGGTGTGTGTGTGTGTGTAGATTTGGAGTTCAGGAGTTCTTTTTCATAAAACAGATTTAAGAGGAAGTCCTCATGGCCACTGCCATGCTTTGGATCGATTTGAATAGCTTTGGAAATGTCTGTTCCTACATGATTTGTGAAAACACCTGATTCTGATGGTTTTTGTAGGAATTGAGTATGTATTTCAGGTGACACAGAATACAAAATTCCTTTTGTTACCTGATAATTGACTTGAAGAAAGTTTCTTAGTAAAATTTACTCCAATTCAAGACGTTGAACAGACGTGCATACACATATGCCTATATATGCGCTCATTCATGTGCATACGTGTGTGTGTCATGATGCCTGCATATGTACATATGCATATCCATGTGCGTGTATCCACTTGTGTATATGTGGATGTCTATACATGTGTGGCTATATGCATGTCCAAACACGTGTGTCCATTCGTGTGTGTCCATTCATGTGTGTATCATACAGGTGTACATATATGTGTGCATCCGTGTGTGTTATACATGCCTGTGTATATTTGTGTGCATAAATACAAACATGCGTGCTGTTACATGTATTTTTGTACCCAGACGTCAGAACCCCATTCTGGGTGTTGGACTTCACAGGGCACTGACACGTTGTGAGTGTGCCCCTGTGTGTCTGCACACTTGGTCCCATTGGGCAAGCCCAGGAGTGGAGGATTCGGTTGGCGGGTCGTGAGTGGCTGGGTAGAGCTGTTAACCGTGCCTGCACCCAGCCAGCACACGGGGACGCCAGGCGGTTGAAAAGGAAGAGGGACGGGCCGAGCGTAGTGGGCAGCGGCGGCCGGGTTGGGTGTCGGGTTGGCGGCACACCTACTGTGTGCTAGGCCTGGAGACTCACGGGCGGCAAGACAGCCTCTGCCCTTCCAGTTCACCGTCTCGGAGGAGGACTGCGCCCACGCAGATGCGTGAGTATGTGAGTCCACGAGAATGCAGGGACGCACAGTGCGGGAGATGAGCACCACGTGACGTGGCCATCAGGTGGGACTGGCTGGAACTGGTGGCTTACGGGCGAGGTGACTTAGCAGCTTCTCAGAGACACCTGGCAGCTGACAGAGGGCAGCGAGAGGGAGTGTTCCTGGAGGGACTCGCCCGGTGTGCAGGTGGCTCCTGGGTGGGTGAAGCCAGGCAGCGCGGGGCCGTGCGCATCGAGCCGAGAGACTTGGAGGGCCCCCACCACCGCACCACTGTCCTGCTGTGGCGTGAGTGTCAGGGAGGCCGTGAGGAGGGGCTGCTGTGTTTGTCCTGGCGGACAGGGACAAAGGCAGGGGGGAGCGCGTGGCTTTGGGAGAGCTTTCGGGGCGCTGGTCCGCTCACCACGAGCGCCCAGTTTCAGGAGGACTTGCTGGCAGCACAGCCTGATTTCGTGGCTCCTGGGGGATTCACCGCCCCAGGGGCTCCGGTTGACTTGAGTCTGACAGCACTGGCACGTGGGGGCCCTGGAGGGGGTGGCGCTGGCGTGATGCAGCCGCCTGGCCGATCCGGGAGGTGGCCCTGTGCTGCGGCTCTCCCTGCAGCTCGGTCCGACAGACGAGCCCGCGCATAGGAGCTGACACTCCGCAGGCACAGCGAGGGGCCCCGCGGTCAGACCTAAAGGAGGGCGGTGCCCTTTGGGACAGGGGGCTCCGCCTCCCCCACCTGCTCGCGTTATCTTATGTGCACAAATGACCTGCCCACTGAGGAGAAATCGATCCGGGAGGTGGCCCTGTCCCCATCCCCGTCCCCTTCGCTCCCCCAGCGGCGCTGACCCGAAAGGTGCCCGTACAGCTCCCCGCTGTTTCTGCTGCACGTAGATGTGTGTTATTAACTGGAGTCACGTATGCGCACTGTATGGACGTGGCATCTTTTTTCTTGACTAAACCGTAGCTTTGGACTTTATTCTGCGACAGCACATGCAGGGTATTTTTAAAGGTTACGTAATTTTCAGTTATGGATGCACCATTGTTTATGTGGCCTCTTCTTTACTGAGTCCGTCCTTGCACATTTAGCTCTGTCTTGAGTGAGAATATTTGTCAAAGGTTCTAGAAGTGGAATTGCTGGAACAAAGGTATTTCGTACACTTAAAATTTTGAAGTGTTTTCAGACGACCCCGAAGATTGCGTGCACTCCCCGCCAGCACTGCGTGCGAGTGGCTGTCTTCCCGTGGCCACCTCCGTCAGTGTCACCACCTTTCCCGTCCTCGTCGATGTATGAGAAATGGTGTCTCGCTGTTCTGCTCTGTCGCTAGCCGGCTCGCGTACCTTTTCCTGCGCCTGACAGCCATTCGCGTTTCTCCTCCCGACTCACAGGAGCGATATGAGAGAGCAGTCGGAATTTCTTCAGTATGATCTACATTGTAGCTTCGTTCCGTGTCTTTCTATTTAGAAGTTTTACATTTTTATTTAATCAGAAATCAGTCTCTCCCTTGCTGCGCTCAGGAAGCCCTGCCTCACCCCGAGTTCACCGAGGTGTCCCTGCTCTCCGTCCCTCCGGCGGTTCTGTGAGCAGTGCAGCCAGGGGTCTAGCTTCGCTTTCTCCTCATGAAGAGCAGTGGCCGTGCCTGGTTTGAGAGTAGCCAGCCCGTCACCCCGCTGCGCCCGCTGCCCCTGGACACCTTCTGCACTGGGGTCCTGTGCGCACGGGTCCTGTGAGCACACGGGCTGTGAGGCCCACTCAGTAAATATCAGGATTTGGTGGAATGTTTACTGAGACTGAAAATAGGTTCTGTAGCCTGAAGCTACGAAGCCATGCGATAAAGACGCTGAGAGCGTGAGATGAAGGAGCTTTTGGCTTCCTGCTGGAGCCCGTTTCTGGGCACAGAGCTCCAGACGCGCGGACTGGCTCCGCGGTGGTGTGCGGGCCTCCCCGGAGGCACGGAAGCCAGAATCGGCCAGAGTCAAGCTCTGCCTGCAGGAAGCAGCTCCGTGCGAGTGCTGATAAACTTGGTTGTTTAAAGTCCCTTAATCCTCTTCATGCTTTTTCTCACCTGTCACCGCAGCCTAAATGCGACGGCCAGATATTGCTGACACAAGTGTGGAAGCGCTTGAATCTGATCGAGTGTGACTACTTCGGGCTGGAGTTTCAGAATGCCCCGTCCTGCTGGGTACGTGCTTCTCGTTCACGTGTGGAAACAGGCTCCAGGTGTGGCAGCGTGCACACGACGTGCAGGGCCCAGAGAGCCTGCGAGGACCTACTCCCGTGACACAAGACTCTTTGCGACTGGCACGTTACTGCCACCAGAGCCGCACTGCGAAACATCTCATGTGTCGCTGGAGAGGATGTATTGGCCTGTTATCCAAGCCTCATCGCATCCTCCCCACACTGTTGTCTGCCTGCACAGGTGGCACGTCCTGCAGGGTAGTCATCATAAAAGCGGATTTTGAGCAAACTTTCTCCAGGCTTCATTATATTTAATAGATGAATCTTTAAAGTTTTAAGCTTTACTGGGGAACTGTTTTCCAGAAACCACAACCAGCCCACACATTAAAACGCGTCGTGGGGCTCTGGCCGGCTATGTGGCCACCCCGGGTTGGTTTGTGAGTGGGGTGTGCGCGCGGTGCCTGTCTGGCCCCCCCATGCTTGTTGGGGCCCCGTGCCTGGCAGCACCACAGCGCCTCCTCGCCCCCAGAGCCGGTGCCCCCGCCACTCTGTTCTGTCAGGGTTTGACGTGTGCCTAAGAGCAGGAGGGTCAAAATGTCCCTGCCTTGCCCGTCTCTCTTAATCATAATTGTTTTTGTGTTTTGTAACATACTAATTGCATAGAGAAATTAATAGATTCGTTCTCTTAAATCCCCTTCAGATTTGGCTCGAACCTATGAAACCCATCATTAGGCAAGTACGAAGTAAGTCCTTTTTTTTTTAAACTTTAGACTTCTGTTCATTTAAGATGCTTTTGTTCTTGACTGTTCAAATTCAAGGCGTGTCCAGATGTCCATTGTCACTAGTCTGGACAGCAGATGAACCTGGAAGCCATTTTGCTGTCAACCTGATGAGGCGCGGGTGGGGGCGCGCTAGCTCAGCGGGCTTCAGTGGGGGTCTCGGGGGGCCTCTGGGGGCCTCGGCTCCTCACCTCAGATGTGCTGCTGATGGTGCTTTCATTTGGGGCCAGTATGCAAAAATAAGTATGTGGTTTGTCTACACTATCAAAAGACATGGGGGGTCCTGTCTTTAATTAGCATTTTAAATAAAATAGTTAATACCATTCTGTAATCATGAACGCAGTTATTTTCTATTACGTTTTAAAACTATGGCACATCGTAAGCTGCTCGGTTCTTAGTAATCGCACAGCACGACGTCTCTAGTGGTCGGAGCTCCCCGTACCGTGTTCAGCACTGGGGAGGCTGTGTGGGGGGACCCGGCGTCCCTGGCAGCCCGGGCCACGTGGGGCGGGTCGCACTCCAGCAGAGCCGCTCCTCCTCCCTTCCGCTAAAGTGCAGGGTGGCGGTGCTCCGGAATCTCAGGGGCACAGGTGCTCCGCCAGCCCACACCTTTCCCTCCCAGTGCTCAGCTTATGCTGGCTCCGTGCAGCCAGTGGTGACACCATCCTTTCCTACAGTGCGTGAGGGTTTCAGAAACACCTTAACTTTTGAAATCACTTTTTAAATTGTAAAATGTAAGTAAGAATATATTTTAAAACTTTAACGTGCCATTTCCTGCCCATTTTTAGGGTTCCTTGAGGAATCTCTGCTTAATGCAAAAGGTCTTAAATTTTCTTTGATATGTGATGGGGACTTAGGACTCATAACTGCATGCCTGGGGAATTTCTTAATACCTTATTCGAGAAGATCTGCTCTAACCGGCGGTTTGAAAGCACCCGCCCAGTCACACCACAGTGTATGGAAAGAACGCAAATACAGAGATCGACCTTAATTGTGAAGTTTAAATGTTTTCTTTTCATAGAGCCGAAGAATGCCGTGCTTCGCCTAGCAGTGAAGTTTTTCCCACCTGACCCAGGCCAGCTGCAAGAAGAATATACACGGTAAAGAGCCCGCTGTGAGCTGTGGCCGCTGCCAGCAGGGCTGTCCTTTCACCCTGTGTTCAGAGGAGGGGTGAGCCTGGTGCACGTGGAGACTGGCCGGTGTGCAGTGCTTAAAGAGGCGTCGTGGCAACTGACCCTTGCGCAAACGCAGATACGAACAGGACTTGGAAGAAAGGTTTTCGAGAATGAAAAATGAGACACTAGGGGACGGTTGGACCGATTTTCCCCCTTCCCCCAGTGCGCATGGGTTTATCCACGTGCGTAGAGGTCTTAGGGACGTCGCCCGCGTGCTTCTGACGAGACACGCTTCGCTAGGACGAGTGCCGAGTGCGCGAGTCCTCGTGAGTGACGAGGTTTCCTTTGTGCTGCTCTTGAATTCAAGGCTGGCTCTTTGACATAGTGATTGAAAGAAAGTGTTTACAGTTGTTTCATCTGGGCAATAGAATTATGGAAGGTTTTTTCTTTGTGTTTTATGTACCAATTCTGTAATGAATAATTAAGCAGCAATCTAAAAACCAGCTTGAAGCCCAAGGTCAGGAGTGAGATGAAGCTGACCTGTGGCGGTGTGGGGTACCAGGGCACCGTGTAGCCTTCCCGAAGAGACCCGGACTCGTGCCTGGGGACCCCCTCACGAGGTTTTGGCAGGCCGTTTGTCACGGGATCAGACTGCCAGCTGCGAGGGCCATCGAGGTCACATTCGTTCCGCCTGCGTTTTTAGGGGAGGAGGTGACCCCAGGGGGGGGCAAAAGCATCTTTATAGTGAACACAGAACTTGCCTCAGTCACACATTACATACTTGACATTTACCAAAATAGATCTCTTTTGAGGGAATAACTTCTAAATATATATATACCTGGGAAATGATGAGTAGCCAGAAGTTACTAATTCAGGGTCCTGAGCCCAGGCCATGTTTATGCGGAAGGTCCTTTTTCACTTATTAAAAAAAAAAATATGTTTGTGGTAAGAGAAGAAAAAGGTTCTCTAATAAAGCTGTGTGGAGTAAAAAAGGAACATTCCCACTTCACCCCCTACTGGCCCACTCCGCCCAGAAGCGCCGACACCAGGGACGTGTCTCAGGCGAACCCACAGGCAGCGCACAAGCAGACCCAGGGCCCCAGAGGGACCGATGTGTCGCAAGCAGCATCCAACCGTCCAACCGTCCCCTAATGTCTCATTTTTCATTCTCGAAAACCTTTCTTCCAAGTCCTGTTCGTATCTGCGTTTGCGCAAGGGTCAGTTGCCACGACGCCTCTTTAAGCACTGCACACCGGCCAGTCTCCACGTGCACCAGGCTCACCCCTCCTCTGAATGAACACACACGTGGCACTGCAGAGTAACTTTTTCACCCCGTCCATAGCTTGCGGACAGCTTTCCATAGCAGTATATAGAGGGCTGTGACCTAATTTCTCTAACCGTTCTCATATTAGCACATGTTTAGGTTATTTTTTTCTCTTGTAATGCAAATAAACATCCTTAGCCACTCGTCTGTGGTAACTCTGGAAATATTTCTGCAGGAAAGTTTGCAGAAGTGGAACTGCTGACGTAGAGTATGCGTGTGAGAATTTTCATTGAACACAGCGCCTTTTAACAGCTCACACTGGAGCATAGATTCCAGCAAGGGGCCAGTGAGTTTGTCTTGTTCACCATCGTGTTTCCAGGCCCAGGTTCCGTGCCCAGGACAGAATATGTGCTCAGTAACTACTCATTGACGGGAAAATGGACACGCAGATGTTTTCAGTCTGCCTTCCCTGGTTACGCTCTCTCCAGGGGTACGCAGGAGCCCCCGTCCTCAGACCCTAGCCAAGACCAGATAGGCCCAATCTGCGTAGAATTCTCATAGCCGCCCTTGAGCTGTGTCTTAGTTGGAGCTCTTTCTGCCGTTTCACACAACATCGTGAGTGCAGTTGTGCGCGCAGCAGAAGCGGCGTGCACTCGCGCGTTTCCCCAGTGGTGTGTAGTGCTGTGGGCTGTGGTGCCCAGGAAGGCCGGCGTCTGTCCTCGTTCACGTAAGGCTCCCGCGTGCCCGGCACTGTGGATGTGGTGTGCCCTGTGTGACTCAGCTTGCCGAGCCGCTGCCGCCTCAAGGGCCACTTGTGCCTGTCTTTGCTCACTGTCTGCCCTGGTGTCACCCTCCTGGGCCTGTGTGCTCTCCTGCGACGGAGACACGGGGAGCATGTTCTGGAACCTTTGGAGTTGATCTCTGTGATCTTTCGAATTCCCTTCTAGGTACTTGTTTGCCTTGCAACTTAAGAGAGACCTCCTGGAAGAGCGCCTGACCTGCACGGACGCCACGGCGGCACTCCTCGTGTCCCACCTTCTGCAGTGTCAGTGTCTCCGGGCCGCGGGCGCGGGCAGGGGCGGGGGCGATGTCCCGGGTGCGCGGCCCAGGTAGGCCCAGCCTCGCCAGGAGCTGACGCACCTGCAAGGTTAATGAGCGTGGGCAAAGGGCGGCGTTCCGTTTGCACGTTCGCGATATTACCTTCCGCAGAACTGGAGCCCCTTCTGGCAACGAGCCCCCTGGCAGAGAGGCCCGAGGCCCAAGCCCGTACCCCGGGCATTCTTTCGGGTTGTTTCTCCTTTGTGCCTTTGCGCATTTTACCGACAAACCTCTCCAGCCCAGGAGTCAGTGGTCAGCCTGGCTCTCAGCGCCCCCAGGAAGGGGCCTCCTTGGGGTGAACACCACAGCCCCCAGACAAGTTGGGCGTTAAACCTGGAGGAGAAAGTAAATGTTTCTTCAGTATCTCACACAGGGCAAGAGCTGGCTCAGACGTATGTGAGGAACTGTAGTTACTTCAAGCCGAACCGGGGGAGATGTAAGGGAGGCTCTGACGCCGGGCTGCGCTTCGCTGGGCTGCACGAAGCCCGCGGCTGGCGGAGCAGGAGGCAGCGAGTGCCCACGTGGCGTTGGGCTGGGCCAAACTACGGTGCCCCGAAGCGAAGTTACATGCGTCAGCCTCTCATGCGTCAAGTGTGGTTTAAAACACACACTCTGTCCAACTGGCAGCTCGGCGCTTGCCCCCGGGGCCACTCACCTGCGTCTTTGGTCTTTAAAACTAAAAATATCCTCACCTGCCTACATATTTGCCTTTAACAGCATGAAACATTTGGAAAAATAAAATACAAACTCTTCTTTAGTTAAGGATGTGTTATCTTACTACAGATTTAGGATCATTTTTTTCTACTTTTAGTTTATGCATTTGCATGTACGAATGCTTGTATTTTTCTTTATTTAAAAATTAAAATGTTTAACGGTTGTGATCTCATCTCAGCGGAAATAGGAGATTATGACGAGAGCCTGGATCGCGAGCACCTCAAAGCCAACGAGTACCTGCCCCGCCAGGCGCCCTCTCTGGAGAAGATCCTGGAATTCCATCGGACGCACACGTGAGTCATTCGGGACCGGCCGCCGGCCCACGGTCCCTGCAGCGGTGGCCAAACGGCGCGTGAGGGCGCCTGCGGCAGCCTCTGACCACACTGACGGCTGGCGCTCCCTGGGAGCCAGTCACGCACTGCAAGGTGGCCGCTTTAGCAAAGGCTGGGAAGGAGGTCGGGGCCCCGGGAGGCGAGGACAGCAGGACATCAGGTGGCTGTCGTGGGGGTCCCTGCCGGGCGGTGTCGAGTGGTGGAGCCAGCCCTCGGTGGCTCAGTGCAGTTCGTCAGCTTCTCCGAGACTTGACAGCGGCGGGTTTTTCCGGATTGGAGTGAGGGACCCAGAGGGACAGTGCTGGAGGAGGGGGGAGTGGAGAGAGATTCGGAGACAGGGCTGTGACAGGGCAGAGCCAGGGCTGCGGGCTGAGGCCCAGGTGGCGGTGACCTTGATTTCGGCAAGGTGAGCGCTCCCGGGCACATTCTGGGCACTTGGCCGGGTCCTGAGAAGGAGCGGGTTGAGGCGCAGGCGTGTTCCATCACATAAAAAAAAATAGGTGAAGCTCTGCTGGGGTCCAGCACCTTCTGTGGAAGTTTGGGTGCCAGCTCTCTGTCAGTCACTGCTGCCCACACAAGTCACTGAGTCCTGCTTCGAGGACACTGTGCCCTGTGAGGCTGCCTGTACTTGGTCACGCGTCTGGCCCCTCCCCAGACTTAGGGAGGGCCTGGGCGCGCCCGGCGGCATGCAGGCTCTGGATAGGCAATTACGTGCTGTCAGTTGTGACACCTGAGCCGGACAGGTTGACAGGCACAGCCTTCTTCGGGGGAGGAGCGATGAGGACCGGGAGGGTGCTCGGGAGGCTCCTCTGAGGAATTAGCCCCTGGGGGTGGTCCGGGCAGAGGCCAGAGCCGAGGAGCTGGGGAGACAGACGGGAAGGAAGGCCCAGCACGATGCAGATACTTCTGGGTTAACGGTAGAGCGAACAAAAGTGTCAGCCGCTAACGGGACTGACGTGACTCTCACATGCTTGCTGTGTGACGTGCTGTCGTGGCCGCCTTCTCAGCAGCAAAGCTGAGCGAAGGCATGCTCTCCGTCATGGGTGTGGCTCGGGGTACCCCTTGGCGTCAGCGTTCAGCACTCCTGGGCTACCCAGCAGGGGGCCGGCGCTCATCAGGGCTCTGGCTCGTGTCCTGGGTGCCCTGGGCATGGCCTCTCTCAAGCCTGGCCTTCATTCTGGCTGGTGGCAGGGAAGGTACAGCAAGCAGCTCCAGGAGTCACACTGACTCTGAGGACCAGCTGGACGAAGGGCCCTCTCCCAGTGCCAGCCAAAGGTGACGGTCATTTGTTCAGGATTTGCCCCTGGAGTTGGGGACAGGGTCTCTCCCTGCCGAGACACACCGAGCCAGGGCTGGACACCTGGAGGAAGGGGTGAGTTGGGCGCTGCCCTGTGACTTGTCTCCCAAGGCAACAGTGCCCAGGAGAGGGGGGTCCGGGGAGCGGGCAGACCGAGCTGTGCAGCGAGTGAGACCACCTCGGGAGAGAAAGATGGCAGAGTGCGGAGCCCAGCAGGATGCGTGGAGGAGGGGACACCACAGGGCCGTAAGAGCAGGGGCCACGAGCATGCGGGCCCTGCGGGAGGCTCCGGGAAGGGGCCGCAGCCTCCTGAGTGGAGGGTCACCGCCAGGCACAGCGAGCGCGGGCGGGAACGTCCACGGGCTGTGACTGACCGCGCAGGGGCCTCGGCGCCTTCAGTGAGGTTCAGGCTCAAGAGCACTGAGAGTGAGGGGTGGTGACAGTCTGGAGCGGTGACACTGAGCAGCCGGCCTGTGGAGGAGGCAAAGAACTAGACCTCGGTGAGGGCTGGCGTCCCGTGTGTGTTGTGTGCGCTTGTGCACGTGTGTGCGTGTGCACTTAGCTGCACCTGTTCATTTGCGTGTGCATGTCGTGAGGTGGCTGCTTTAAAAACCCTAGGGCGCCATCGAGAGGAGAAGTCGGGTGGGCCCCCCGAGGGAGCCGGAGTCCAGAGCCCACGTCTGTCTCGGGCCCTCACAGCTCCGCTCCGCTAACCCCGCCTGCCGCGCCGGCAGGAATGTGTCGCACGTCCTTCATTTCTTTGTGGGAGTCTCTCAAAGACAGTACTGCGCCTTCGTTTAAATCACAACGGGTTCTCCACGTGGCTTATGCTTCTGTTCCCGACGCAGTGGGCACACCCTCGTGATCCCCGAGCAGGACGCTGGAGCAGGCTCTCCCTGACTATCCCCGTGCTCCCCTTGGACCTCTGAGTTTGCAGGAAAAGACTTGAAAGCTGGTGTCGGTGCATGCCAGACATTTGTTCCTCACGGCTCTGGGGGCCGGAAGTCCAGGTCAAGGCACTAGCAACTCTGGGTCTGGTGGGGACCTGCCGGTTGTTTTCTCCCTGTGCCCTCACGTGGAGGAAGGGGCGAGGCCTTTCTGGAGTGTCTTTTATAAGGGCACTGACCCCATTCACAAGGGTTCTACGCAGTCACCTCCCAGCACCATGACTTCGGGGGTTAGGCTTCAGCATATGGATCTTGGGGGGCAAAAACCTTCCTTCTGTAACATTCCACCTGTCCCCCCACAATTTTTGTCCTCACATGCAAAGTACATTCCTTTCACCCCAACAACCCTGCAAGTCTTAAAGTCTCATCGAAATCCTGTGGGTGAGACTCCAGGGACACTCGTCCCGAGGCAGAGTCCCCTCTAGCTGGGACCCTGTGGAACCCGGCCGGTCATGTGCCTGCAGGTACAGCGGCGTCCCGAGGAAGTCCAAGCCTGACCGGTGAATGACGGTCACCTCAAGCGTGAGACTGGGCCTCTCAGCCCGCTGCTCTGTGCTCTGCAGTGGCGCCACCCGCCACAGCTGCCCTTGGCTGGGTCACCCTGCAGCTCCCGCAGCCTGCCCCAGCGCCCTCCGATGGGAGGGCAGCCTCAGCTCCTGCGCTAGCTCTGACCCGCAGCTGGCGGGCCCCACTCCCCACGTCAGACACCGCTGGACCACGCCCTCAGCCATCTCGGTTTTGGCATACGAGTAGGCTGGGAATTTTTCAGGACTCTAAACTCTGCTTCCTCTTTGCTTAACGGTCCTACCCTTCAGTCATTTCTCCCTGTGCTTTGCTGCGTGTGGTCAGGAGCAGCCACACTCCACCTTCAGAACTGGGCTTAGAAACCTCTTCAGCTAAGTATCCAGTTTTATTGGTAGCAAATTCTGCCCTCCATGAAACACTAGGACATAAACGCCGTTCGGCCAGAGTTTCCCCACTGTATAAAAAGGATCGTCTTTCTTCCCGCGTCCAAGAGCACCCCTCGTTTCCGTCTGAGAGGTCTCGGAATGGCCTCACCATCCCTGATGCTGAAGCCTGCTCGTGGCGGTGGGGGGTCCCCGCTCTCTGGGCCACCAGCACTGCCCTAGCGTCCAGGGTGCTCACCGAACCTCGGAACCGCCAGCCTCTGCTCCTCCCAGCTCTAGGGCTGCACGCCCTGCAGGTCAGGGCTTCTCGGAAAGCAGCTATGTCACACACTGGGCGTCCCTCCCTGTCGATGACGTAGGAAAATGGAAGTTAATAGGCAGGTTCCAAATAGCCAAATTCAAAGAATGGAAATTTTAGTCGAAGAGTGGAATCAGGAATGGCAAACCCGAACAGTTGCATTATTCCTGAAAGATCCACAGCTCAGGCATTTGGAAGGAAGAAGAAGGAAGGGAAGTCCTGCGGGTGGATTCAGGCCTGGGACGTGGGTGCCCCTGACTGGGACAGTCTTCCCTTTGCCCAGCTGCCCGCCGTCTGAGCGCCAGCCACCCTCCTGGAGGCTGGCGGGCAGTGCAGCGTGTCTTCCTGGGAGCGAGAGGCACATGGCACGTGGAGACCTGCACGTGGGTAAAGCCAGTTGTCCTGGTGACGATATTTTTATTCGGTTTTATAATTTTCTTCACATAAAAGTATGTTGCAACGGTCGGATTGCACATCAGTGCCCTTAGAAAAGACACCCGCTCTTTGAAGGGCTGATGGGCTCGCTGCGGTGCTGGCAGAGACCTTGGCGTCCCCTCCGGCACGGGCGTCTCCACCTGTCCCGTCTGCACATCCCCTCGTCAGCACGCAGAGCGGGCTGAGCGGCGGGGCGGCCAGTGAACGCAAAGATGCACCCGTGGTGGGGCGTAGGTGGCAGCGCAGGAGGGAGGGACGGTGTGTCCCATCTGCACGGGGCCGTATTCGCAGCGGGTGGGGTCTCAGACAGCGAGCGGCCTACCCCGAAGCGACGAAGCCCCCTCAGTTTTCCTGGTCACGTCTGCGCTGCGCTCGGCTCTCAGAGCAGCCGCTTTCGGGGCTGTGACCTGCCATCTTTCACCGCAGGGGCCAGACGCCTGCCGAGTCCGACTTCCAGGTGCTGGACATCGCCCGCAAGTTGGAGATGTACGGCATCAGGCTTCACCAGGCTTCCGACAGGGAGGGGGCCAAGATCAGCTTGGCGGTTTCCCACACAGGTGTCCTTGTGTTCCAGGTAGGGAGGGCAGGAGCGGGGGGCGGGGCTGCTCCGGCCTGGCGGGCTCGGTCTCCACATATTCTGGTAGGCTTTCGTTCTGATGGATGAGATCTTGGACTTGGAGGGGAGCTTTGCACGTCACCCAGTAGAGAAGTTGTCTTCCTGTCCTTGTCCTCACTGTTTCGGAGCCCACCGCCCCTCAGGGCGCCCGGCCTGGCCCCCTCTTCTGGTGCTGAAACAAAGGCCGCCCCCTTAGGCCTTCACCTGAGGCTCTGTCCTCCCGGGAGCGGCCCCCGAGCCTCGGCTGGGCCTGCTGCCCTAGGAGCCGCAGCGGGCTCAGCGTCATTTAAGGTGACGGGACAGAGCAGGCTAGAAAACACAGAGGGTGCCGCCAGGTGACAGTCTGCGCTCAGGGAGTTTCCGCGTTCGTCCTGTGGGGCAGGTGAGTGGTGACGGACGTGGCCACTGAGCTCCGTCTGTAGCTGACTGTGTCCTGGGGTTTGCGGCGTCCGCGGGCCTGACAGCGACTGCTGGAGTACAGGCCCTTTGCTCCAGGGACCGTGTCCTCTCTGACCTGGGTAACTGCGTCCCCGGCCGTGGTGGCTCCTCGGGCTCTCTGGGTGCTGGCCCTCGTCCAAGCACGCACCTCTGGTTGAGTGCAGCGGTCCCGAGGCCTGCCCAGTCGCGCAGAGCAGGGGCCTGGGGACCCGTCCTGGCAGCTCAGCCCCCCGTCAGGCTCCTGGCCTGCGACCGCCTGGAGGGGCTCACCTGTTCCGCCTCCCTGGTCAAGCACGCTTGTTTCCTTTTCCTCTGCCTCGCCTTCACATGTCAATGTCCTGTCGAGAAAACAATTTAATTTTGAATTTTGAATGTGAATTATGTTACGTGCTGTCTGAGTGCAATGCAGCCCCGTTTTACGTTTAATGACGTGTCTGTGAGAGGGAGCGGTACGTCAGCCATGCCCTTGAGCGAGGGCCCCCGCGGCCCCCACACCCGCTCACACCCGTGATGGTTCCTGCGTCACAGACTCGAGTCTTACGTCCATCGTCATCGTCATAGTTTATAGCCAGAGCGAGTTGTGAAAGCAAGATTAAGGACTTCAGATTGAAGATGGCTAATTCAATTTATTTGTACTCCCTCAAATCCCCCACCAGGATGGCAGTGAAGAAAATTTTTTTAGGTTTAAATAAGTAAGAACCAAGACTGAGAAAGGAAACCACAGAAGTTGAGAGATATCAGCAAAATGTTGGGAGTTGGGCAGTGAGTAGGTGAGTGGAAGAGGCTGAGATCCAACGGCCTGCCGTGGGGAAGCCGGGGAAGAGGCCACTGTGTCCCCAAGAGCCAGCCAGGACTGGGACGGGAAGCTGGGTTTGTCCGTGTGTCTGCGTGCGGGGCACCTGCAGCCTGCCCGTGTGGGAGGAGGGCAAGGTCGTCCCCTCCGGGGTACGGCTCGGATAGTATAGAGGAGGCGTCGTGCTCAAGCCCGTGAGCCGACGGCTGCGACAGGCCCTTGTCTCGGCCCCCTTGGAACACCGGCCCCACTGCGCCTCGCAGGCAGGAGACGCCCCTCTCCCGAGAGTCCAGGCAGCCTCGCGGGAGCCCCACGGTGTTGATCCCAGGGCTCCTGCCCCCCACAAAGAGCTGCCAGCTGGCCTTGTGGGGCCTCCTCTCTCGAAAGCTTTCTTTTGGAAACACTCCTAAACTTACAAAGCAGCTCCGAAAACTAGAATAGCATGTAGACCCCCACGTGCCCTTTACCCCGGCTCACCCGCTGCCGCGTGTCACACCTGCCGCTCCCGCGTGTCACACCCGCCGCTCTCAGGCGCGCTCACTCACACCGTCCCCCCAAGGTGTGTGAGGGGAGGCCGGCGTCGCGGCCTGATCCCCAGGACTGTGGGGTGTGCTTCCCAGTGCAGAGAGTGCCCCTTCTCCACTGCAGTGCCCTGTCCCCGGGCCGCTGGCACGTCCTTACCAGACTCAGCGTCTGTCCAGCCTCGTCAGCGGGCCAGCGACGTCCGCGAGGCTTCCATTTCCTCCGGGCAGGACGCAGCCTCAGGCCGCCTGTGGTGCGGGCACACATGCTTCCCCCTCCGACGACACCGGCGGCGTCAGCACAGTCCCGTTTCACGTTTAGTAAAGTGTTCCTCATCTGGGGCTTGTCGGCCGTTTTCCTGTGATTAAAGGTAGACATGTTCCCAGCGCGACCACTGCCCAGGTGATGTCGTGTCCTCAGGAGTCACACCTGAGACGCCCTGCGGCCTCGCTGGCGCCGTGAGTGCGGACGCGGTGTCTTCTGCCGTGCAGCTGCCAGCCCCCTCTTTCAGCTCCCGAGCCGTGCGCAGAGCGTCGGCTGCACAGACCGCCCGTCCCTCGTCAGGTTCCACTGACGGTGGCCGGGCCGGCGCTCTCAGGACCTGCAGAGCCACCAGCACCTGCAGAGCCGCCCTTCCGAGCACGGACAGAAACCCGGCGTCGCCAGGATCCGGTGAGGGTTCTCTCCTGAAGGACAGACCAGATTGTTGGGGAAAGAGACTCAGAAGAAGCAGAACCAGGGCCAGGAACGGGAGGGTGGACGAGCACGGCGAAACCTCCAGCGCCTCAGAGAGGACGCTGGTTCCCCGTCAGGCTGGCGGACACAAGGCTTCGCGCCGCGTGGCACTCAGGGGGCACAGACGCACAGAGCTTGCGCCTTGTGGCGGTTCCTCCAGCCTCCCGTGGCAGTGAGGTGCCGCCCTCCAGTCACCAGGAGCCTGGCAGACTCACGGTGAGCGTCCATCTCATGGAGTCTCGGGCACACTGTTTATTCCACACAAAATAAACTGGTGGCACTGGTCGCCTCTAGCGGCTTCGGGAGGGGAGACGTCACTGTGTGCGCATTTTTGGTGCCTTTAGAACTGGAACCGTGTGGATGTATTTACTGCTTTCCGTCTTCCTAAGAGCCCCACAGCAACGAGAAGCTTGCATCTCTGACACAGGAGCCGGATGCAGCCAGGGACACGCTGCAAACACGCGTGCTCGAAAAACCGTGACAGCCGAGCTGCGCCGTGGTGGTGGCGGCCCACAGGAGGTCTCTGCGCCCAGGTTGGGCCTGGCGTCTTGCCTCGGAAGTGCGGTGGCCAGCCCTGCAGGGGGCAAGGAGCTTCCCGGGCTGCCAGGCCAGCAGGGCCCGCTTCCTGCGGGAGGGCGGGAGGCCTGGGTCCAGGGTCAGTGAGGAAGAAACTGTGCAGGCCGTGGCCACTGTGGAGACGCCGCCCTTGGTGGCTGCGGACATCGTGGGTGCGTGGCAACCCCTCGAGACCACCCTCACTGAGCGCGCCTGTGAGAGCTGGCAGAAAGCTCAGAAGGAGGTCTTCTCCAAACACTGCAGGAAGTGGCGGGGAGGAGACGGCAGGCAGCAACTGGGGGCGGCAGTCGGCAGCACGGAGAAGAGCCACCAGGTCATTGGCGCTGGCGCCCACATCCTGACGCACCTGCTTCCTCCAGGCCAGAAGAGGCCCACCGCATGGCCACCCAGGCGAGTGGGGTACAGTGGCCGGCAACGGGACTGCACCTGCAAGAGGCTGGTCCCTGTGAACCAGGTGTTTGGACGGGACGAGATGACCGATGTATTTGGGGTGACCAAGGGCAAAGGCTACAAAGGGGTGGGCAGCCGCAGGCACACCAAGGAGCTGCCGTGCAGGGTCCTGTGAGGGCTGTGCAAGGTCGCCTGTGTCGGGGTGCGGCGTCCTGCCCGGGGGCCTTCCTGTGCCCTGGCTGGGCAGAAAGGCTACCATCACCGCACTTAGAGCAGCCAAATCTGTGAGGTAGGCCAGAGCTGCCTCGTCAAGGGTGGCGGGGTGGTCGGGAACAGCACCTCCCGCGATTACGCCCCGTCTGACGAGAACGCCGGACCTCTGGGCGGCTTTGTCCATTGTTGTGAAGTGACCAGCGAATTCGTCACGCTGGACGGCTGTGTGGTGGGAGCCAAGAAGGGAGCGCTCACCCTCACAGATGCCTCTGGCACAGACGAGACGGCGGGCCTCGGGAAGATCGGCCCTAAGCCACCGACGCCACCGCCCCGTGTGGCCACGGCCACTTCCGGACTGCGGAGGGGAAAGCATCCCTGGGGCCACAGGAGAAAGTCTGGACTGCAAAGGAAGAAGAGCCTGATGTCAGGGACAGATCGCGCAGCTGCTGGGGTCTGAGTAAAAATCCTTTTCCAGTGGGCGGGGAGAACCGTGACAGCAGAAACAAACGTCGGCAGAACGAGGACGTTGGAAAGATAAAGTTGGAAAATCACCACAAAACAGAGTGAAAAACAAAGAACAAAAGATGGGAGAGAAAAGTAAACTCCAGGAGCCAAAACGTAGCAGCGGAAACTGTTAGACGCTACGTGGGAGAAGTCGGAGCTGAAGGCCTGAGCTTTCAGCCTGGAAGGAAGCACCGTTGTGAGTTTTTATTTTGAGCAAAAGAGAAAATGAAAAGGTGAGCAAGCAGCTGGAAACAATTCTGTTGTTGCTGTTTTGTGTCTGAGTTGTTTTGTTTTGCTTTATTCTGCTTGTTTGCTTTTTTTGAGAACATCGTTAAAAATTCTCCAGTATTTTACTTTGAGTAGAAATCAGAGTAATTGAGTATTTGGGCCACATTTCGGGAGCTAGGACACTTCGGTCCTTGTTTAGATCCTCACGTGCTGTCTTGGCTTTGACAACCTCTCTTTAATCAGGAGCCTTTTTAATTGAGATATAATTCACATACCATAAAGTTCACCATTTAAAGGACACATTTAGTTATTTTTAGTATATTTGCGTAATTATGCAGCGTCACCACTGATTCCAGAACATTCCAGCCCCCTGCATAGCATTAGCGGCACCCCAGCCCCAGCCCCTGACGAGCTCTGGTCCCTCTCTGTCTGGGCTCCCTCCCGGCCACTGTGCATAAATGGGCGCGGTGTGGTCTCTGTGCCTGGCTTCTTCCCTGTTCTCAGCTGGTCCGCACTGTGCGTGTCGGCGCCCCTTCCGTTTGGGGCTGATGTTTAGTCTCTGAAGGGAGAACATCCCTCACCTGCCGCCCCCATCTCGAGTGTGCAGGGAAGAGGTGAGAACGGAGACGCCAGGACGTGTTCCACGCACTTACATGTTGTGCTGGAAGCAGTTCAAGCTCACGGAAAAGTGACAAATACGGAACAAAGAGCTCCTTTGCTGAGACCCTCCCCTGGTCCGCCCGGGGCCCCCCAGCTGCCCAGTCCCGTTCACTGCAGAGCGTCCCATCTCAGCCGAACACCTGCCCAGCCATTCTGTGTCTTGTCTCTGCAGTCCGGAACTTTCTCCCTCCTCCCTGATTCTTGTGGCCTTGGTGTTCTGAAAGATCGCAGGCTGCTCATCTGGTACTGACCCTGCCGAGGGTCACACCCTCAGTCGAGCTGCTCGGGTGGGTAAATCACAGAGGTCGTGATGTGCCTGGTGTGGCCCATGCCGTGGCCCATGGCGCGGCCTCTGTCCCATTGCGGGTAGTAGTACCGATCACTTGGGCAGATGGGTGCAGAGTTGCTTTTTATCCTTTGCAATTACTAAATGTTCTGTGGAGAGATCTTTGAAACTGCCTCATCCCACCGCCTCCTGGTTGGGTTGCTGCGAAGGTTCCAAATGAAGACTGTGAGTTCCACTCTGTGCTCCTGGAAGGGCTTCTCCCGGTTCATCTAGTTCCTTTACGTCGCTGTGGACCCATGGAATCGTTCTATAATCACGTTACACTTCAAATTATAGTTTCAGTTATAATCTGACACTTAACGATGTTATCATTATCTAGTTTGATCTTTAAATTCTCCCACATTTAGCCACTGGGAGTCCCTTCAAGCTCCTGTCTCCTTGTGGCATGTCCCCATCATTCACTTTCTTACACGACAAGATAGTCCAGGTTCTTTCTGTGCTTTGCATGCGTCACTGTGGAAGAGCAAAGGGCCCTTGTCAGCGTAGGCGGTGTTGAGACACGCAGACCCATGGCCAGGGCGAGCCCACGTCGTTCGTTCCGGTTCGGCACCCAGGGCCCGAGCAGCCCTGCCTGGCCATAGCCGCGGCCCCCTCCCGACCCCCCTCCTTGCAGAGCGGGCTTCAGGAGAGTTTAATATTAACATTGATGAAAATACTTCGTGGTAAAGCCGTGTCAAAGAAATCGCGTTATCTTTCTAAAACGGGCGGATTAGCATGTGGCATGGACACTCCAGTGCAGTCGTCCCGGGTGTGATTGTGAAACACGGGGCTGCCGGGCAGCCGGGCAGGGGCGCGCTGCACCCCCTCCCGTGCGGGAAAGCGGTGGGGGGCCGCGTCCGGGCCTCAGACTGCTGCCAAGTGTCCGTCTTGAATTTCAGAGCACCGCCAAAATCAACACGTTCAACTGGTCCCGGGTCCGTAAACTCAGCTTCAAGAGGAAAAGATTTCTTATCAAACTGCACCCAGAGGTCCACGTGAGTATGATTTCGAGGGCCCGTGGTGAGGAGGACGCGTCCCGCTCCGGTGCCAGTAGTGTGGCTGCGGTGCGGGTCCTGGCAGCGTGTGGCGGGTGATACGCACGTCGCCCAAGGGCAGGGTCCGGTCGGGATCCGGCAGGGCGGTTGTCACCCTGCCCGCGGTCCCCGCACGAGGGCGCAGCCACGCGGGGGCCTGAGAACGCGCCTGTCCAACCAGCCCCCAGGGCTGCCGAGGCCACTGGCCCACTGCGGCCGGTCTGCCCGCCAGCCAGGGCGGCTACAGAGCGCCGTCGGCGGGGACCCACCGCCTGCCGAAGGAGCCCCTCGCCCCCCAGTATCTGGCTTACACATCAGCTCTCTAATAGCTCTAATTGAAGGAGCCTTGATTTTCAGAAAGTAAATATTCTTTTCTTTTGAGATTATCAGTCAGTAAACTAACAATTGCATATGAATTTATTAAAGGCAATGGAAAAAAGTATCTATACAATCTCATAGTCGGGAAAATCCAGTGCTTCATACTATCTAAAGAGGTTGAGATTGTCACATTCCAACGTACAAAGGAAGTTGGAAATAAGACGCAGATTAGCTGGGTCTCCCCCCACTGCGAGGTGGGAGGTGTCGGAGAGAGCCCCGGCCAGTCCGGAGGAGGGGCCTGTACCCAGGGCTTCCGTCAAGCACCAGGCTCCCTCGCTGCTGCAGTGGGCGGCCCGACAGGGGGCTTCACTGTTTATTGTTCAGATGTCTCTGTAGATGAAGAAGTGTAAGGAATGCCAAAAACATACACAAAATGGAAGTAAAAGGTTGCTTTTTCTTTTTTCTGTAAGTAAAAAAGTGTTTCCAGCAGTCACCCCGTGGGAGAGGGAGCGCAGAGAGTTCCCGCTCAGGGCACTGAAGCGGGAGGGACAGGAGTAGCCCGGGGCCTCAGCATCCGAGCTGTGCCTGGAACAGCACTGGGCAAGGCTACCTTTTATGTCACCAAGCACTTTCCCAGCAGGAGTTAAAGTTTTATCACCTTTCGGGAATGTCTACCATGGGGTTGAAGCTGCATTGTTCCTGAGCTCAGTGTGACATCTCTGGGGATTTATTCTAAGGAGTAATCCTGAGAGAATGTAGTGGCCTGGAAAACTGCCACGCCCCACGGGAGAACGGCTCAGCGACAGGCGAGAATGTTGGCTGGTGGGGAAGGGCAGAGGGGCTTCCGAGTGCCAGCTGTGCGGCTGTAGCGGCTGCACTTCTCTGGGGATTTCACAGTGGGTATGGGTGCACAGACACAGACACAGACACTGTGTTTTTCTTCTCGTGAATGTAAATGGAACCAGAAGTCTATATAAACAATTTTCAGGAAAAAAGTCTTCCTAATTTCTGACTTTGGAATAGCCTGTTGTCTACACTGCTTCCTAAATGTTATTCTTGAATTAGTCGCTTGAACCTTTGTGTTTGTTTCTAGGGACCTTACCAGGACACACTGGAATTCTTGTTGGGCAGTAGAGATGAATGTAAGAACTTCTGGAAGATCTGTGTGGAGTATCACACCTTCTTTAGGCTTTTTGACCAACCTAAGCCGAAAGCCAAAGCCGTCTTCTTCAGCAGGGGCTCGTCCTTCAGATACAGGTGGGACAGGGCCACGCCGGACGCTGACTGCTTGGTGCGGCTGAGGACAGAAATAGTCTAGTCGGGAAAAAGCATTGTCAGACATGTCGGAGGAGGACACAGAAGGCAGCCACTGTGAAACAGGAGACAGCACGTCAAATAAATAGTGGGGAAAACCGGCTTAAAAGCTTCGTTTAGAAAATTGTTCGCCTCACCACAGAGCGTAGCTTTAAATGCGCCGTAAAGTCATAATGGGAGGGCGAGACGTACTGGCCTTGGCCTTCGTGAAGTAATGCTGTGGATTGCTGTGGATTCTTTTCTTTAAACCCTGAACCTTTATTGACAGTGGAAGAACTCAGAAGCAGCTCGTAGATCACGTCAAAGACGGTGGGATGAGGAGGGTTCCATATGAGAGGTGAGCTCCATGGTCGTCGTGATGTAAAGCGCACGCTTTCGGATGTGGTATTTTAAGTATTTTTAACCATTATTGGAATAAAACTCATTTCAAATACATAAACATGTATTTTGACACTTGAGTTGTTTATTTTTTTAAGATGATGGATTCGTGATATCTTTATACAGGTACAGATATTACTTTTAGCTTGTAGTCTGTATAGCTCAGCTCATATGTAATGTTTTTACATAGTTTGGTAAACTCTGAATCTGAAAATTCACACTGTTTCTTTGCATGTGGAATTGTTCCTTCAGTGGGAAGACAGTTTTACCTCTTCTGGGATATTTATTTTTCATTCAAATCCTTGTCTTCTGTTATCCTGCCCATTTCTAGTGAGGTGCCGTACGGCCTGTCATCAGAGCCTGGGCTGCGTTTTTGTAGGCACACGGGCACGGCAGGGGCTGCTTTAAAACCCGGGAACAGGAGAGGAGGGCTTGCTGGCTCACAGTTTGTTCTCTGTTCACAGAAGACACAGCAGGACTCAGATGTCCGCCCGTGCCCTGACCACGGACTTGCCAAAGCAGGTTAGTCCTCGTGGCTAGAACGTACGCAGTACGTTATTTTAGAAAATAATTTGGCGATGTTTTAACAAGAGTCGTAAAATTAGTTGTGTCGTATACACAGCAGTTCCAGTCCTGGGACTCTGTCTGCAGAAAGGAGTCCTAAGTAAAGACAAAGTTTCGTGTGCTGGTGGGCAGCACAGTGGGACCCTAGGAACCGGAGTCCCCGACAGCCATGTCTGTGCGGCGGTCCGTTTGACGGACTGCTCTAGAGCCATGAAACTTGTTTTAGAAGACTAGTGTGACCATATGCTGATACTTGAAAGCAGCAGGCTGCAAAGCGGCCTACGTAATATGATCCTCATTTTTATTTAAGACAAATAGATGCACGGAGGAAAAGGGCAGGAGGAGTAAGCGGCACCGTGGCACACACCGTCTCAGCGATGCGATCAGTTTACTATTTATAATTTTTTATGTCTGCCCATTGTTAATTGTTGACAGTTTGTCATTTATACTGTTAAAGTATTTCCAGAAGCTGAACATGTACTGCATTAAAGCTATGTGTCCCACTTTTTTAATTGAGCCTTTTAAATAAAAACATTTCTTAACTTTTCTAGGTATGTTTCCTATTTAGGCATGACTTCTTAGATCAGTTGAAATTAATAATTTCTTTTTACTTTTTAACAAAGTTCAGATTTATGAATAGTATAAAATAGTACAAATTATCTAAAACTAACATTTAAGTTTTTAGTTCTCTGATATTGTCTTTTAAAAGCAACAAGAGGATATTGAATATGGTTGAATGATCAAGAAAAAGTGATGTTATTAACATGCGGAAACAGCTCGCCCTGCTTCTACACGGTGGTGGCCGTGCCCCCGCCACGGCCTCGGCCTGTGAGGGGCTGCGGCACACGAGCACCCTTTGTGACGCATGTGCCACACGGTACAGGGCTTTCTGGAGGCACGCCTGGGTCTCAGTGACGCGTGAGACGTGGCATAGGCAGTAGGGAGGACTCACTTCGTGCCTGTGTGTGGGGCCGTGAGCGAGGACACGGGCAGGGGGCCCGAGGGGCAGCGAGTGCAGCATGGCCGCTTGGCCTCTCTGGCCACTGCCCCTCCGGGATTCCCTCCCGCTCCGGAGCTGGAGCCGCACAGGCAGGGACACACGCACAGTCTTCTTCGCTGAGGTGGACGCACCGACGCGCGCCCCCGCTGGCGCTGACCTTCTGACCGCTGTCCGTGCTGTGCTGTAGGGTCTCGTGTGCTGACAGGAACGGCTTGAGGCCTGTCTAACTCTCTTTCCCCGTGAGGAAATGATGAAAACCCAAATACAGCCTCGCGCGGTGGGCGGGGGACGCGCGCGCCAGTTGTCAGCGGGGGAGGTCTCTGTGCTGTTGACGCTCACGCACGTGGGGTGGTGACCCGTGTGGGGCCGTGTGCGGCCGGGGCCCTTCTGCAGCGCGTCCCTCCCCGGCCCCCCGCTCCGAGTGGGGCGAGTCCGGGCAGCCGCGTGTGGATGTGCCGACTAGGGCCTCGTTAGCTTTGCAACCTTCCGAAGGAAATCTGTTAAGTTTTTCTTTTTCTCTTCTGTTTTGCATTTCTTCACTGTGATACCCAGAGCGTCTCCTTCACCGAGGGTGTGACGACAGCCGTGTCCCCATCTTCAGCAGATGCCTCCGTCTATTCGGCCCCTCCATCCCCGCTGGCCCCTGCCAGCCCACCCAGTTTCGAGGACAGTGGCAGCTCCCCAACGGAGCCCCAGGCTCCCCGCTTCCAGAGGCCCGCGGCAGAGCGGGGCGGCCGAGCGCTGGAAGGCCTCGACACAGGACAGGCACCGCCCCGCGGGCACCCTGCGCTCCAGCCTCGTCAAGGTGCTGGGTCCAGTCGCGCCGTGAGGGGTCGTAGCCCCACGGGCCTAGGTGCAGTGGGGGCCGGCGGGGGGCGCAGAGCCCCTGGGGAAGACGACCATGGGGAGCACGACTTGGCCACGGGCTCCTGCCTCTCCAGGGGGACACGCCCGGGTGGCCGGCCGGGCGGGGGAGGCACCCCTGTTTTCACATTGACAAACGCCCAGCTGCAGGTGTCTGAGGAGTTCATAGATGACGACCCGGCAGACATCTCTTTCTTTGCCGGAGGCTCTGAGGCGTTTTCCTTCCCGTATGGCGGCGTGGCCCCTTTGCGTGCTCGCCCAGGCTCTGCCCTGTGCAGTCCAGATGGGTACTCCCCTGGGGCAGCGCCCGTGGACGCAGGGCAAGGCTTCACGTTTGAGGGAGACGGTGGCTTTGGGGGTGACATGCACCCCTCAGACACCTCGGAGCTGTTCGAGGTGAAAGCACAAGCCAGCCTGATGCAGAGCCTGCTGAGCCCGTCCGGGAGCAGCTCCATCAGCAACCTCCCGCTGCACGGCTGCTCGGCGCACACGCCCAGCTCCGCCGGCCGCTCGGAGGCCAGCTCCCTGGCCAACTTCCCAGCCCACTCAGTGCGCTCCGAGGCTAGCTCGGCCTTCCAGTTCTCTGACATCATCGACCAGTTAGAGCAGCTCAGCTACCCCCCCACGGCGGCCGAGGACTCCAGCAGCGCCGACACGGACTCCTGGGGCTCCGAGGCCCCCATAGACACGAGCCTCTATTTCAGCACCCCTTTCGCACAGACCAGTGGGGAGAGAGTGATTTTCGATTTGCAGAACAATGTAAAGAGTTGGAGTCCAGGAGAGCAGATAGACCAAAACCTGTCTTGACCACTCGCAGCTCCTCTGCAGGGACCCTCCACCTGCTCTGTGCCCTGAGGGCGCAGGTCGTTGGCTTTCAGTGTCCATGGCTAGGGCTTCTTTCTTTTCCTAATTCTCTGATCGCTTATTCTTTTGAATGTCACAGATGAAAACTTCCACTGTGAATGGTGTTTAAGACTATGCAGCAAGTTGGGGATGGATGAGTATTTCCAGCTCCTCCTCCCGGAGCTGGGCAGTGAGTCTGCAGCTTTGTGTTTCTGGTGTGCGCTCTGATGCAGCCGGAAGCCGGTGCTGCCCATCGTGAGCATAACGGCTTTGTTGGAGGCCCTCGGGACGCGTGCCGTCTGCCTCTGGTGCTGCGGTCTGAGACGAGGCACGCTGCTGAGATTAGCTAGGGTGGAGGCTCTGCTTGCCCTGTCCAGCCAGGGCTCAAAGTCTCGAGGGAGCCGAGCCCTGGGAACAACAGTGGAGGCTGCAGCCTCTGCGTGCTGGTCTGTGGCTGCGCCCGGCGGGGTCCCTGGGTGTCCCAGGGTTCCTCAGTGCCAAAGGCGTCGTCCCTTTAATAACTTAGACCCAGACATAGTGCTATGTGTAGATGCTGGGCTTGGAGAGGTATTGGTTTAAAAGGCAGTTGAACTGTCTTCTGTGCGGTGTACTTGGGGCGTGATAGGTGTGTGGTTGCAGAGAAAGCGGAACCAGGGAGCCGTGCCTTGGACTGATGGAGTGGACCGTTCGCTAGAAGGAATAATCATCCAGAAAGCCGCCGACACCGAGGGGACCCCTCCCTGTGGGGCAGGGGCATTTCTCTACGCGCTGTGACCCACTGTCTCTGGCCGCTGCCCGCGGTGCTGTGGTCGGCACCCGTGTGCCGGGCGGGGCCAGTGCCCAGAGCACGGAGGGACGTGTCCATCTGCGGACTTCGGAGAGAAGCCACTGGCACGCGGCGCGGCAGCAGTCCCAGACGGACACTGCCGAGTTCGTCCGGTCCACAGGCTGGGCTTTGTCTTTGGAGTGTGTTTTCCATCCCTCTGGCACTAGTTAGTAGAGCAACGCCACGTTTAAATGAGTTTTTCCCTGATGTCCTGTGCGGCTCTGAGCCTCCCGCCAGTGCTCCGGTACGAGGCTGCTTGCTGCAGCCACACTGTGCGCCCAGGACTCGACGCCCCTACGACTCCGGCGAGGGTCGGTCTCTCATGGGTGCTGATCTGATGCCAGTGTTGGGGGAGGTGCATGTGGCTAGTCATCTCCTGTTTTCGTGGCTTCGGCCCCAGCTGGCCGTGGTGGCCGGCCCGGTGCCCGGCGGGTACCACTGTTACTTGCCCCGCCCTCACTCTACAGGCCACCTCTCTAGTGATGGAGGCGCTGGGCAGGGTTCTGAGTTGGCAGACTGACCTCCGAAGAGATTATGTGACTGGGCTGGTAAACGGGGTGCTGTTAGGACTCACTGATTAGAACAGTGTGTTTGGGACGTTGTTTTCCCTTTGTGTCACTGAGAAAGCGACCGGATTGGTGTGGCGGAGAGCTTTTCCTGGGCCTAGCTGCCCCGTGCCCCCCACCACCACCACATCCGTTGTCCCTAGTGGTGCTCCAAACCAACCAAGCTGTCTTTTTTTTTAGGGGGACCCTCCCTAGTGTCTGGGCAGCAGGTCAGAGGTGGTGGCTGATGCCTGTCACGCTCTCGTCCTGCGGATTCTAAAGGAATTCTGTTCCGACGTCTTCCTAGGCCTTCGCATGAGAGCGGGGTGTTTCTGTTTCTTCAGCGAAACTTTATTTTGGGGAGGTGAATTTTTAGCTTGTTGTTCAGAAAGTTTTCAGAGTATACAAAAGTGGAAAGGGGTAGAGCGAACGAGCCCGTGTCCCCACTCAGCGTCCCCCACGTCGCCCACCAGCCCTTTTCCTTCACGTTTTGCGCTGTGGCATTTCAGAGCGGGTGCCTGGCACACCAGCGGCGTTCCCAGACTCTCTACGTGTCTGAGACGTGAGGACGCCGCCGCGTGTAGCCCCACACAGACGTCACGCAGTGTCGGCGTCCCCGGCGCCGTCACATGCCGAGGACACTCTGAAGCTGCCTGGCCGTCCAAAGTGCCTGTCACCGATTGATTTGTTCAAGTCGAAATCCAAAGACCAGCTGCTGGCCGCGTGTGGCCAGTAGCGCCTAAGTCTCTGTCACTTAGAAGCCCCCCACTGTGCCAGTGACTTGGGGAAGAAGCTAGTGGTCCTGCCTCATGTCCCACAGTCTGGCCAGCCTATGCCGTCGTCTGCCTGCCCCTCAGGCCCCTGCGGCAGGCTGGACCTGGAGCCGTGCTGACCACTCGCCCCTCACTCACACTAGCCACCGTCCCACAGCCCACGCGGCCGGCGCCTCCGTGGGGCAGCATGTAGGACGACACAGCTGCAGAGCAAGCCGGCGCCCCAGCCATTTTGTGGGCGCTGCTGGGGAAGGCGCCACGTGCAGGTTCAGCTTTCTGGGGAGACCTGGAGACGTTTCTGACAGGGTTCCCTCCCCAGAGCGGCGGTGATAGTTCGAGTTCACGGCTCTTCCTTCACAGCAACAGCGTGTGTTTAAGAGCCAGCCGTAGCTTTTGTGGAGTCACTGCTCAGGGTGCCCCCTGCACTTCCGAGTGGGCTGTGACCCCATCCAGAAGGAGTTCTTTGGGATGCACGGGGACGTGAGCCCAAGGGCCGCGGGGGCCTGCTCGCGTCTCTGCTGCCGGTGGCAGGTGGCTTACGCAGTGACGCCGTTCCCCGTACCAGGAGGTCGCTGTAGTAGGTGTTCACACGTCCA